AGAAAGTAGATTTCACAAAGCTTAGGATCGCAGAAACTTAACTTCCAATATTCTGCATGTATATACAAAATACGAAAGAGTACCTAACACAAAACCTAAACACAAAAATAGATCTCACAGAATCTAGGCTCGCGAAATTTTGGCTTTTCCAATATCCTGGCGAATTATTTCTTCGACAAATACTCTAGCGAACGCCTCGCGTTTCGAGTGTCGCAAGCACCCGGGTTGAAACACTTCCGTGTGCCACGTGGCCCCCGCTAGACAATACCAAACCGAACCAGAACGCGTACACACATGCATACGGATGTACACGCGAGCGAGAAAACGAAAGAGAGGCAAAGTTTCGCCGAGCAGCCTGGCGAGAGACAGAGGCCGCAGGTGCTTTGTCCACGCGCTACGCAGAAAGTCACGGCGCAAGATATATTTCCCCGTTGATCCTAGCGAGCGTTTAATTAGCAGAAATTAATTAGCCTCTAAGAGGAACATATTGATCGGTTATGTGAGCGGACTGGCCGAGCAGGCTGGTCGATAGCGGCGAAACGGGCAACGGGCGGCCAGAATGGAAGACGTAATACCCGATGTCGCGACAGATCCGTTGAACAATGCCGCCAGCAACGTTCCCCGCTTTTTGTCCACCGGCCGATCGTTAATTAGCGCGTGGAATTTCGCTGTTGCCCCGGTCCGTTGCCGCGAAATCGTCATCCTTTCGACTCGGTCCTCGAGTCGAAACGGCAGCTTTTTGCGATGGACTCGGACCATCGGCCAGCAATCGTCCGCAGACTTTACCGATTCACATCGTCTCGATGGTACGACACCGGAGTATCGACGATAACGATGACTCCTCTCTTCGTACCGTTAACGCCACAACTAACTGAGTGCTCGAAAAGATCAGTTTGTTCTACTTTTCGTAGAAATTTGAACGATGGATGAAATTGGATTCGTGTTTCTTTTCATTATTACGTATTTATTTTATAAACCTATCTCTGCTACTTCCTTCGACACACGGGTTTCATACTTTGCGCGTGGGAGGTATCGACGACACAATGCGGAAAATTCCTCCTTAACCCATATGCAGCGCGTATCAGAATATTAGCATAGCAGAATACTAAGCGCGGCATAAATTAGAACAGCGAATGAATTGATCGAACGAGGAACTTTACATTTATAATTGATTATAAATAATTGTCGTGCCCATAGTTTGAGAAACAACTGAACCTTGTTGAAAAGAACGACAACAAAATAAGATCTATGGCTGAAAAATAAGACAGCACAGTGCTGCTAATGTCCAATCCATTGCGCACGAGGTTATGTTAGTGTCTCACAGTGAATGGTGAGAAAAAAATTGTCTCGTAAAAATTCATTATTTCGACAGACAAATACATTAACCCATTGCGCTGGCAACTGGTCCGCGGACCATAACGAGTGACCGAACCGTACACAATAATTCGTCGCTTTCTTTTCCTTTTGAACTCGTCGAACTTCTTTTTCTTCTATCGCCGGAAGTAATAAACTTATCGTTTGTTTCGCCTTGGTTGCATTTAAATATACTTGAAACCGAGAAAGTGTTGCAATTTGGGACAAAAAATTCCCGACGTGCGTGTCATTCCAGCGCAAGAGGTTAACGGTAACAGGGACGTCACTCGCGATCGTTCGCGACTCTCCTCTTTTACAGAGTAAACCAAGCTTCCAGGTAAACAAGCAGCAATTAGCTTCTTTCCTCGTAGAATCGGCAAAAGTTATAAACGTACGGTTGTGGATACACATACGGCGTAGTTTCGTTTAAAATTCCACGACGGCGAGAGACAACCGTCTCTTCATCCGAAAGAAAGAATCCGTGACAAAACGAGAGCCGACCATCGGCAGCATCCGGTGCTAATGACACGTGAGTACGAGTTAATCATCGGAACACGGACGATAATCACCGGTCGTCGTCGGATGAATGGCGAGCGAATACAGGGGGAGACAATTTCTTTTTAACGATTCAATTTCACCGGTCGTTTGGCGGGTGAGAGACCGTTTCCATCGACGGGCCCTCGATTTCGCTTCTATAAATTGGGGATTAACGACGAGGCGGCCGACGCTGATTGCGCGGAGAAACGCGTGTGCGCACGCACGGATCGACGACTGGATAATTTATGTGAACACGATCGGTCGGAGAGCGCGATCGTTAACGCGAAACGAGCTTGGATTTTCGCGCTGCGAGAGTCCCGATCGTTTGCTCTTTCTTTCTTTTTTTTTTTTTTTTCTTTCCTCTCCTCTCGCCAACGATTTCTTGTCGTCAACGAACGTCGTGCTTACTCGCTCCGTTCGTCGAACCTGAGGTGAATTTTTGTCAGATGCTCCGGCAGAATTTTCCTGGCGATGAAGAGGAACGATCTCTCGTTTAAATACATTGGTATCGCTATTAAACGTTAATAGAAAGGAATGATACATTTTACAGTACAAATTGACATTATGTCTGCCTAATTGCAAGGTAGAGAATAAGATTACAAAATATTACTCGAGTAATAATTGAGTAATCTGTTTATCGTTAACTGTCGATCTTTCGTTTCGGTTATCTGATCGAGATTCTCTCTGGGACGATAAACTTTTTGTTTGTGAAAGCCGGACCGAAACTTAGATGCAAAGATTCGAGAACTGTAACAGAGTCGAGCGCGTTCAAGGGTATTAAAAATGAAAGCACAAGTGTAATATTATCGTCCGTTTTTATTTTTTATTTCTTTGTCTGTCAATTTGTGTTGAAATGAAAAGTTTATTTCGCGCACAGTCTGAGGTGTTTCGAGGAAACGAAGTTACGTAAAATCGGTTCAACGAACCGAGCCGAGATTGGCAAAGGGAGGAAATCGATAAAAATTTGGCGCGTTTTCATTGGGCGCGTCGGCCGCGCGTTAATTAACGGTCGCCGGGCGAACGTTATCAGCAGCTCGCAGATAATTATTATGCGATGCATACACGGGAATAACGTGCCGATAATTTCGCACCATTCGAACAAATCTGCGCAAACATGATTAATATTACGAACTTTGTAATGCTATCGGATATTCGAGAGGATTCTCGTTCGTTTCTATCGCGTTCGATGACATAATTAACGATAAACGACGATACAATACCATCGTCGATCTCCCTCTCGCCTACCGCGGCGATCTCTCCACTGGCGTAATACATTTTTAACCGATCGAGAGAGAAAAACAAATGAGAAAGAAAGGATCGTATGTACTAACATGGATAAATAATTAGACTTGATTAAAAACTTGATATTTTCGTTACGACTGATAGTTTAGATATTCAAGTTTCACGTTCATTTTCACTAAATAAAGATTTTTCAACGTGGTCAGTATATATTTAAACTTCTTTCTTAAATTTCAAGGAAAATATGAGTATGTGTTTCGAAATACGTGTATGTCAAAATCACCTCAGTCGCCTAATTATTGTGATATTGGCTATTCTTTTCATCAACGTTAAGTACAAATTAAAAAGACTCGGTTGAAATGTTATTGTATAATAATTTCAATGTGTGTCCAAATATACTTTTCTATATATGCACGGCAACGTATAGAAGAATGGCGTGGCTAAGTAAGCAAGCGTGAATATCTATGAATATATTTATCACTAACGAGAAAATATATAATCGCGACTTCCCTCGTCTCCTGCTCTGTTTTTTTTTTTTTTCATCGTTTCTCACCAGCGCAGCTGCGACGACATTGAACGATTTATCAACCCACGGTAGTTGGACAATAATTACACGAGTCATCGACTCGCGAGGCAATATTCTATCCTGAGCCTGAGAGTAGATATCTTAATTCACCTTCCTAATGTTATCGCGTTAATTATTCCGCGTGTACATCGTTCAATCGCTTTTCAGTTCGATAGTACACATATTCCCTCGTATAGCGATCGAATTTTATGTTATTTATGATGGTAGTTTACAAACGTTTCTTCTTGAACTCGTCGTGTACCGCCACCTCACGTAATTATTCTAGTTCTATCTAGTCAATCGATACTTAATTTTCTTAACAACTTATACAGAAAATTTACTACTCTTTCATAAATGTGATTAATAAATCATTGATCCATTGTAATCGAGAACGCGTAACATTCCGTTTCTAAATTGCTAATTTCTATTTAACACTTGTGTTTTAATCGTTACATCGATATTTTCAAATTCATTCCTTATTTTCTCGCCCATTCCTTTGAACATTTAACACTTTCTTGGACAATACAACGTGCCTCGCAGGTCCACCGACTTTAAACAAAAATTTAGAAATCGATTCTGCCAAAATATTTTTCAAAAGATTTAATACTGTCCTTCGATTCTATTCTATAAAGACACAACGAAGTTATTCCGCCTATAAATCTATAGTAATTGTAAATAATAATATTTTTTATTCTTTTTGCAAGTTTATGTTTTAAAAAATATAAATGACTCGAAGTAACAAAAAATCCTGAAATAATTAAAGTAAATGTATTTAGTAAAGGAACTTCAGTATAATTAAATACTTTAATTATTTTAGGAGGTCATATTATATTAATTTCAATTGATGGAGAAATTGATCTACGAAAAAGATGTTCAAAAGGATGAAAGAAAAAAAAAAAAAAAATTCTGAGGTAACAAATATAATTATTCTAAATTTTTATATTATTTCAATATAAAATGTACGATTACCTATAAGTGTTCTTTCACGAGTAATATCTCGAAATCAGAAACTTTAATTACAATTAAATTTATAAATATAATTATTAATAAAAAATATATTTTTTGTATATTAATTCACAAAATAATTCAAGCGTTAATTTCCTCGTTCAACTACCCAACACTCGATTTCACACCCCTCCCAAAAACTCCCCCCCCCCCCCCCCCCCCGTCCTTCGAATAAATCTCCAATTCGCCGGATAATTCGCAAACATCGAGGCGAACGTACCAAAGTCTCGATTCAATTCGTGTTTCGTCACTGATCGTCAGTTTTTCTTTTTTTCTTTTGTTTCTCGGATGGGCTTTCCAGGCGACCTGAGGCTGCCAGGACCGGGGCCAGGGCCGGTCAGGTGCACCCTGAGGAAGCACAAGCCGAATCGGAAGCCGAGGACGCCGTTCACCACGCAGCAGCTGCTCTCCCTGGAGAAAAAGTTTCGCGAAAAGCAGTACCTAACGATCGCCGAACGGGCGGAATTCTCGTCGTCCCTTCACCTCACGGAAACGCAGGTGAGACCGGTCGGGAGATGTTAGCCATTAAGCTCGCAACCGCCGCGAATTACAATTAACCATCGAAGCGGCGAAGTTTATTTTCTACTCGTGGAAATTACTCCAGCCAAGCGTGAAGACAGAGAGAGAGAGAGAGAGAAATCTCATCTGTTCAGTCACTACGCGGAATATCGCTTCGAGAAATTATACGCGTGCATCGACGAAGGTTTCACGATCGTAAATTTGTACCTGACCTTCGAGTCACTCGCGCGAGAATGACAGACGCTTCGAACTCGTCATCGTGGATTATTGTCCATTAGGTATCGGGGAATATAGCGAAATACCGTTTGAGTTAAACGTTTCTGGGATTAGCAAATGGTCCCGATAATGGCAGATTTACTGGCTATCTCCTTTACCTTCTCTCATTAGCTCCGACGATTCCGGGCTAACGCGCGGAAAACTCAGGTTGTTTCGCTCTTTTACGACGCACGTTGCTATTCGCTTCGAGCAGGTGAAAGTGTTCAAACGTTCAGTGGAAATTTCACGAACGTATCGCGTGTGATTATCTTGAAATTTTATTAACGTCGTTCAATACACGAGACACGAGACACTGTTGAGTTTGAAATCTTCGTCGGGAAACGTGCGTGAAAAATTTATAGAAACGTTCGACGCGAGTCTCACATCAGTGCTAAATTTTCAAGTCTTTCGTACGAAAATTCTTTTACAAAGATTCAGAGATACACAACTGAAACTCTCTTCGACCTTACAACTCGAGTAACAGAAGCTCGCTCGTGAACGTTTCCACGAACAAGCGAGCGAGAGCCAAGTTCCGGCGTAAAGTAATTTTAATCGATCGTTCGAAGAGATACAATGGGATGAAAAATTGAGTCGAAATTTTCTAACAAAAATTTATAATTCAACAAAAATTTCTAAGAAGAATATTTTTCATTGTTAAATAAAGTATAAAAACATGAAAATAAACTTGACTATCTGATTCTTTATAGTTTTAGGAAACTGAAGCTATTTTTTGACTTTTAATATTAGGTTTCTTCCTGGCTGAAAAAATTAAAAAACATAGAATCAATTTTGCACCAGAATTTTTTCATAGTCAGATTTACAGGCTTTATCATACCTTAATATTTTGCTCATAAGCCATTTGCTTAGATAATAGCTCTAATACGTCTTGGCACACTTCCAAACAGTCTTGAGCAGAAATCAGATGGCATTTGATTCCACTGTTCTATAACACGAGCATGTAGTTCCACTACTGAGCTACGAGGAGATTTGTATACGTCAAGAATTTTTTTTTCAATATACCCTATAGATTTTCGATGGGATTTACCCAAACCTAATCTTAAAAGTTAAAAAAATAGCTTCAGTTTCCTAAAACTATCAAGAATCAGATAGTCAAGTTTCATTTTCATGTTTTTATATTTTATTTAACAATAAAAAATATTCTTCTTAAAAATTTTTGTTACTGTCTCAATTTTGCACTCCAGTGTATGTATTAGACGCTTGTAGTATAAGTATCGTGGCAGGCTTACGAGTGAATGCGTAGAATTGGAGCTTATCTCGAAAGAAACGGCTGCGAAACGATTCTCGGAAACGCGCGGATAGAGAAAGCAGCGGTCGAAGAAGAAAAAAATCGCTCTCGCACGCAACGAAACAAACACACATTTTCTTCGAAAGCCCATCCACGTGAACTTGCGATTCGCTTGGCCGCAATGCGTTGTTCCTATTCGTTCTTCTGCCTCTACTTTCTCGCGGTGCAGTAGATTATTCCCCTCTGCTCTCCTTCGTTTCTGTTTATGCCATTCCTCTTTGTTTCGTAATTGCCCGGCCAGTACGCCCAGGATCAAAACGAGCAAATTCTCTCTCTCGTCTGGCTCTCGCGCATCAGATACGTCACATCCAGGCGGGTAATTACACACCCTTCTACGGGCTCCGCCGGCAATTAACGTGATTGACGTTAATTAAATTGAACGTAATGAAATGATATTATGTGTAATTTTTATATCAGCCGAAATGATCAGCGCTCATTTGGCACGGCGATGGCAGGGGATCGGTTCGCCCCGAATTGTTGTTTCCCTCGCGTTGCACGCGCGACAGTGCAAGATGCAAGTTAAAATGCCGAATGCAACGAGCAGCTCTCTTCGCTTTCTCGATTTTTATATTTTGCAAAACTCGAGAACCGACGATTCTATTCGTGCGCGATGAGTCTATAAGAATGAAAGAACATTCTTTTTTTTTCTTGTTTGAGATTTCGTTCTTGAAAATTACAAGTATACTTTGTCAAATAAACTAGGTATATGATTTTAACCCTTTGACATATAAAAAAAATTTTATTTTAACATTTGTGTAAACTTGGCAAAGGTAATTTTTATCCTCTATAATATTTATACCGCGAAACATTATAAACACAATACTTACAAACGAAATTAATAAAAAACGACGAAAGAACAAATTAATAATTCAATAGCTCTTAGGAAACGCACTCCTAGACGTTATTGTATGTCAAAGAGTTAAAAGTGATGTTCGTCAAGCAACCTGAAATTTCTGATTGAGTGAACAGAGAGTTTGAAAACAAAAAATTTTTCCATTCCTTTTTTCCGTTTCAAGAAAATAGGTACGCGATTAGTGTTAATAATTGTCTCGATACTCCTAGAATCTATTTCGTTGTATAAAAGAGATTTAATCACTTTCAAATTTAAACAGTATAATTTCAGTGAGTCTGTAAACAGTGTTAATGAAACGTAATGTGTTCATAAAATGTATCTACAAGTATTCGAATTCTCTCGCGAGCCACTGAAAAACATTGAAAAATATTCGAAAGACTTACGTACAAGTGCCACGTGTTGATGAGATTAATCCACAGTTCCAAAAGTTGATACATCGATACGCTTATTACACGCACCTGGAAATAAAACGAGAACGTTACGAAAAGTTTTTATCGGGCGCAGGAGCAAAGTAGCGAGCGCGGTGATTAGCCGTCTGACCCTAACATTCTGGTTCTACTTCTAATTTGTACCAGACGCAGTGGCGGTGAACTGTTTCCTTCGCTGATAATAACGAAATATACACGGCTCTGTCGGCATATTAATTAACCGAACCACCACGACCGACGTTCGTTGCGAGTGCAAGAGTATCTCTGGAAATTGATCGTGTCTTACGAGACGAAATTTGTCAGGCGAATCGTAAATTCTTGCTCGACTGGCTCGGTTGGCTCGGGCTGCCTTTGCCATTGGGCAATCACGACCGAAAAACACAAGATCGTTCAATCAGAAATAGACGAATTGGTTACCTTTGAGATGGAAAGAGAAATCGTTTCGACTTAACTCGCTTGCGTTGCTCGGTCAACGAAAAACATTTAAATGATTAAAAATAAAGGAAGATCTTTGACACGAAAACTCAGAAAATGAAACTTTAGCATCTCTGCCCTTGAAAATTCGTAATCGATAAAAGAAGTTACTTCTCTTAATTAATCAAAGACTATTACGTGGCAAAATATTCATCGGTTGTTCGCAACTTTCGTCGATAATTGATAAGTTTATCGCCGCATGAAAGTTGATATGACAAATAATCGATAAATCTCTTGCACTTTGTTGCAACTATACGAAAGCCGTCGTTTAAAAAAGTTTAATTTTTCTCTCAAAAGCTACAAAGTAAAATCGAAAAAATATTTAAACAAGAAAACAATCACACTGCTACATGTAACTCCGGTTATGGATTTCTGAACTTTTCCCTGTCCGAATAAAAGTTGTGAAAACGATTCCACGTGCAAACAATTTGAAGACAACACGAACGAAAGATTGCCCAATAACGAACGATCGTTCGAACAGGAGAAGAGAGAAAAATCGCAAAGCCACGCAATAAAATTGACCAACCGCCAGTTGAAGCCAGGTTTCTAGACCAGTGTACTCGCTTGTCTCGCAAACACGTGTCCCGCAAGCCAGGCCAAAAAGACAATCGCGATGAGGCTATTATCGCTCGGCTCTGGCTAGCGTGTTCGAATACACTTTGCGTATTCATTACAATGCATCAGACGAAATGAAGCCTCGGATCCCGTTCATTTGCTTAGATAAGCTACGATCGTCCCGTCGCCTCCTCGTTGTCCTCCTCCGTCCTTCCGAAACAGAGCCACGGATCGCCACCACCCAGGCCACAGCCAGGCGCTCTCCTCTCATTATTCACCCGCGACGAAGAGGTATGTTCGCGATTTGGGTTGCGATATTCGCGCGGTTAGAATGCAACAGCCGACGTTCGTGGAAATAATTTTGCGGGAGACGGTTCGCTGCCTGCCACATCCATGGAAATTCATCGTCCTCTCTCTCTCTCTCTCTCTCTCTCTCTCTCTCTCTCTCTCTCTCTCTCTCTCTCTTTCTCTCAAGAAAGTGATCGATCCCTCCTGGAACGACGATTCGATGTTGTTGTTTCGCGTGTTTGAAAAATGATTCACTACGGAGAAGAGAGACAATTGTATCGTGATTCGCTCAATGTAGCTTTCTTAGATAAATTGGGCGTCTGTCATTTGTTTGGAGCTTCGACACGTTCAGATTCTTTAAGGGGGCAGGACAGTTCGACGGGGGCCTAAAAATTACGAATACTTTGGAGGGCTAGTGGAAACAAAAGTACATATTTGATCGGCAGGAGCTTTCGTGGTTTATTTGAACAGATTATGAGCTATAAAACACAACATTAAAAGAGAAAAAAAGAGGGCTCTTATTTAACTTTTAACGACATAAGTTTTTTTTTACATTGTCTATCGGTGTGCATGATTCCAGCCAAACAAGATTTGTTGCAAGAGAAAGGCAGAAAAAGTTCGAAAGTAAGCAATATTCTCTAGGGATTGACGATCCAACATTTTCATTTCTATGAAAATTATGAAAATAGTAGCTATTTGTTTTTGATGCATTTATGCCGAAAATTTCTACGTTTTTTGCTTGTATTTTTCGAAATTGTTAAAAATTAAAAAATGTTCGATCGTCAATCCCTAGTAAATGTTACGTTAAAGATACGCACCAAGTTTCATAGTAATCGGTTGGTTAGGTTCCGAGATATCTTGCACGCCGTTTCTAAAAACCTAGTTTCGAGAAAAACGCGTTTCTCAGAACGTCATTTTTCATATGTATCCTTACTTACATCGCGACTCACAGTTCTTACAATTCACAACTAAATTGAATCCCCAAATCCCCTAATATTCGATTCACCAAAAATAAATATTTGAATCAGACGATTTATACTTTATAATACTGCTTAAAATTGTAAACAATGATACAAATTCAATTATTCTGTATCCGTGGATTTATTATTATACCCCAAAATAACTCGTTTTAAAGGAACTTTTGCATCTTATTTCTAAGACTTCAAGCTACTGTTCAAGAAAAAAAAAAAACTCGATTTTTGAAAATTTCAAACTGTCCTTAATCGAAATTTATACAAGAGCAAGTTTGCTTCTTTATATGTTTTTTTAAAGGCTACGTGCTCGGAGATCATTGGCACTGGATTGCAATCGGTGTGTGCAGTTTTTTTTGAAAGTCGTGGGTTCAAAATTAACGGTGCAGAACGTTGAAAATTGCGATAATTTCTCACTTCCCGTACGAGCTTCTCCTCTGTTCATACCTCTGTAACTTTCGTTACAAACTTACGTTACAAACGCATCTTACATATGTATACATATACACAATCGGGTAATATATCGCGCGTAAGTGAATAAAATGAAAATAAAGATCACAGTTTACTCCCGGCGGAATAAAAGTTTGATCCAGGCCGTGGATGGTGAACTCCAGGTGCGTGGTGTAACAAAGGAAACGCCGTTGGATTACTCGCGTCCCTGGAAAATTGCGCGTTAACTGTCGATGGTTGAAGCGTCAGGGCACAACCGTGAAAAACAGGAAGTCGTTGGCGAAGAGAAAAACCCCTGGCTCTGGTATACATATATCGCAATATGTCTCTCCACCGGGTGAAACACTAACGATTTGATTGCGCATTGTCACGCGACGCGAGATTTCTACTTTCTAAACGACAAGATGTATCCTCAGTTACGTGCACGCGTCGCGCAGACTGTCTGCCTCGACATCTTTGGCTTTGTTTATTTAAGAGTCACGCGATTCACATCGTTTCTCCTTTTTCTTTTTTTTTTTTTTTCTTTTTGAACTCGCGTCTGCGAGTTCTTATTTACCCCTTGTAACCCGGCGAAACGTTATGCCCGTTTCAGCGATCAGATTACCGCTCCTTGAACTCGTTACGCGTGCTCCAGGGTGCTTAATGCTAATTCCCCGCCGGTGAGCTGCGTAGCCTGGCGCGCATTACGCTCGATAAAAATAATGGTAACGAGAATAATAACGGCGATAATAGGAAGATTGTTGTCGTTTATACACGCGGGCCACTCGGATATTACCGCTCGGATGACGGACTAAGTGTCTCACTGGCCAGAGTGTTTCTCAAATATCCTTAAATATCCTCGACAGTGCACACAAACGGTGCTTCAACCTCGAACAATTCAAACAAACCTCTCGGATCATTTCGAGTGGTTTAATTATAAAAACGATTCCTTTGTCCGGCTGGGGAAAAAAGTTTCATCGAAACGGCCACACCGCTTTCGCCGCGTACGTTGAAGTCTCGGTAACGATGAAAGCAATTGGGAATTTGTTGGGAATTCGATGATACGAACGAACTGATTCGCTTGATACGCTCGTCTAATTAACAACACCAAGGTGAACACGGATGAAAATTAATTTAACTGGCCGCTTGCATAACCAGCGAGGACGTGAAATTTTCCAGCGAACGATCTCTGCAGGAAAATTGCGAACATTCGTCGTAAAAATCGGTGTTAAACGACGGATGTCACACGTATGACTCGTTGTCGTATAAAAAGTTCGTAGAATATATTTACATTTGCGTCTGGGCATTATTTGAACTCGATCTGTTATTGCGCGTTCACTTGTACTTATTTTAAGGTAAATCGAGTAAAATGTTTTTTATTCATGTATTATTATTTATTTTTTATAATTTAAAGCAAGTTTGCATTATCAACCTCAGCGTGACATGTGAATTCAAGGTTAGCATAGAATCGTGAAATTGGCGAGAATATTATCAACAAGACGAATATAATTTTAAGAAAGAAATGAACGTTTCTCATCGAGTAATAGCAAGAAAAATGAGTAGTAAATCAAACTCAGTAAATAAAACGATCGTTGCAAAAATTTTCCACGTGCCTTCTGCGATTCGATGATTCGCGACGCAGCAGAAACGATTCAATGTTTCTCATTCATTTATTATTATCATTGTATAATTTATTTTTCATAATTTTTAAAACGAGTTTCATAGCAAATTAGTATCACCTCCAACGTGACACGATAGCTCCAACGTCAGGTCACGAAACTGAGGAGAATATTTATTAACACGATGAACATAATTTGAAGAAAGAAGTGAACGTTTCTCATCGAGTAACAGCGAGAAAGGTGATCTCAGTAAATGAACGATCGTTGGAAAAATTTTCTACGCGGCTTCTGCGATTCGATGATTCGCGACGCGGTTCGGAGCAGAGGAGTGCACCGCTCTTCTGTCCAAACAGAAAAATCGACCGGCGACTGTGCAAACACAATTAACCACGCCGAGAGAACGGGCCCCGGAGCCTATACGCGAATTCGAGTCGCGTATTTTTCCACGTAGCAAGTTTCCAACTACATCGACGAATTCCATTGGCTCGCACGGCACGACCGGCTGCTTTCACCAATTTGAGCCGGCTAATTACGCGCTAAATAGCCGTTCATGCAGCACCGTGGTGCGCCTATTTTCTCTCTGCTTTCGTCCATCTCTCTCTCTCTCTCTCTCTCTCTCTCTCTCTCTCTGCCTCTCTCCCGATCCCGTCGCGTCCCTTGTTAGACCTGCTTACGTACCGCGCGGCTTGATCGATAGCGTAATTATTTAATTACGTATCGACGCGCTCCTCCCGCCTCTGTCTGTTCACCGCCGGCCGTTTTCTACTTCGGCTGGCATCGACCAGGTTTCCCCAGACCGGTCGGCCAACCACCGGCTGACAAGCGACACGGTGAAAATCGATCTTGGGCAACTGCGGATGGAGCTGTGCGCGATGGAGGCTAGTAATTAAAAAGTTGTGCCTTGGGTGTTGATCGAAGATAACGTTACACACGCCCGGCGAAGCAAGTTCCGAACGATCGAACGAAATTTTGAAGGTTTGCTCGTCTGCCAATAATAGGAACGATTGATTTTTCAGTGATCCTTCACGAAGAAGAAATCCTTCGCATCGTCTCGAATAGTGAGAAATGGAATGAACAGAGAGAGAAAGACTCCTTAACGTGCAAATTGTTCAATTGTTTGATGAACAATAGATTTTACGAATGTCTGATTAGATTGTAATCCATCTGTTTCTAGAGTCAACCCTCTTCCACTTACTTCACTTGCTTGTAAATGAGATCAATTTTTCTATGAAATTCAATTTGTGGCTACGAAATAATTGATCACGTTCTACTTATATTTTTTTGAAATACACATCTCCTTCTACTTATATTTTCACCATGAAACACACATCCAGAAAATTCAAATAATTGTAAAAATGATACGAAATAATTTTCAGTAATAAATGCTTATGTCCTATATAAATTAAATTTATTTAAAAAAAAAAAAAAACAAAATATAAATAAATACGACAAACATTTAATTTCTAACTATATATGAATTTTTTTTATTTTACAAAAAAAAATAATATATTTAGATCATTTATTTTCGAGATAATTAAATCATTAAAATAAATTAATTAACCCTGACACAGAAGGTAGAAAATAAATTTTACTTATTTATTTAAAAAAAAAAAAAATTCATTCTCATTACTTTTAACTATTAATAATATTATTCGTTTCAAATCATTACTAAAATATATTCTTATTATAAAACTTTATTAAATTAATATATTAAATATATATATAATATATATAATTATTTTAAATATATATATAATAATATATTAATATATATTATACTTATTTATTTAAAAAAAAAATTCATTCTCATTACTTTTAACTATTCATAATATTATTCATTACTAAAATATATTCTTATTATAAAACCTTATTAAATTAATATATTAAATATATATATAATATATTAATATATTATAATAATTAAATTATATGCATGTACAATATAAATAATACTAGAGGGCAATGCTCTGAAAAACAGCTCAAATTCAGATGAAATTCAGATTTTCCACAACGAGAAATTTAACCCTCGGTGATCTCTCCCCTCTGTTGCAGGTGAAAATCTGGTTTCAAAACAGACGGGCGAAGGCGAAGCGGCTGCAGGAAGCAGAGATCGAGAAGCTGAGGCTTTCGGCGAGGCCGTTGTTACACCCGAGTTTCGGCTCTGGCCTGATGTTCTCCGGAGTGGGGCCTCCCGGAACACCAGGAGTGCCTCCCTTCATCGCGGCGGCCATGGCTAGGCACACCCATGTCGCGGCCGCGGCAGCCATGTTCATGGGGCCCCCTGGACACAGGCCTTAATAAGGCAGAGTCGAGCTGCCAAGAGCCCAAGTCGCTCGTACCTTGGCCAGTCTGCTTCTTCCGCACTGGCGAACCGCGCAAGAAACCTCTCTCGTTGCGAGATTCAATCAAGCTCGCTGAATCGACTGAACTACCGGCGGCTCGTCTGATTTCGTTAGAAGAGAGAGAGAGAGAGAGAGAAAGGGTTCAATGGAACTGATCATGGTGTAACTCGATGATCGAAAGGTGGAAACAACAAAGACTGGAGGAGTCTGTGATGATTCGTAAAATGGTGACGGGTTTGGAGAATCAAGGTTGAAGTTCCGAGTGAATGAAATTGCTGGAAAAGAGGAAGCGCGCTGCCTTTACCGAGACAAAACAATTTACCGAGATAAAACAAAAAGGCAAACTGAGAAAACGAGCGTCTCTGGAATCCGTGGTAACGAATAGTGATCTGTGACCGTGGCCAGCGACAGAAAAGAAAAATAGAATAACGCTAGAGGCGAGAAGTTTTCCATCAGATACGCAAATTCAACAACAACCGTAACCTGTGTTCCATTTCGAAATAAGTTCCGGGCCAAAATCAGTGATTTTAATTTACGTTCGGTGAACATTCGACAAAATTCCCACTTTCCGGTTCTCGTGTCTCGATTGAGAAGCCTTCGCTCACGCGACAAAATAATTTCGGTGAAACTATATCGAAGATCTCGACGAAGCCGCGATCTTCAAGCCCGTCACCTTCTGGCGAACCTCGAAATCGAAGAAATCGATCTCGTTCTCTCCCCCCGTCGAGCCTCAATGAAAGCTAATTCAGTGACAAGTGATCCGGCACGGACGCGGTGGAAATTGTAAACGGCGTGAGTTTCGAAGCGCGACACGTGAACGCGCGATGTTCGTCGCTCGTCGTAGAAAGCGACGAAAGAGTTCAGCTCCGGCGTTCTCGCGAAACGATAAATCGACGGTGACTTTTACCCGCCGCCAGATCGTTCTGGCCGGGGCCAGAAACGTGAGACACCGAGAGCTCCAGTCTCTCTTTTATTTCTTTCTTTTTCTCTCTCTCTCTCTCTCTTCTTTCTACTTTCGCGCGTCCTCGTGCCGCGGCACGAATGATTTCGTTCCACGCGAAACAGACTCTCTGGGGCGGTAAATAAATCCTAGATTAACTCGATGCTGACGAACGACTCCCGTCGTTGATATCACCGCTGCGGTTTCGATAGGTTTTCGTCCTTCTGAATTCTCGATTTTAGTTTAATAGTTTAATAGTGGGAATTTGTGCTCGATTTATATTTAAATTAAAATGGAGGTCTTCGAATATAATGGCATCAAATTCTTTTAAAATTAACGAAGTAGTTAAAATTTGTGGTCAATTTGTATGAAACTAAAATGGAAGTCAGTTCTTCTTTGCAATTTTTGTAACACGATAAGATAACAGAGAATCGCACAAGTCTTCGAATATAATGGTATCAAGTTGTTTTAAAATTAACAAAGTAGTTAAAATTTGTGCTCAATTTATATCAAATTAAGATGGAAGTCAGTTCTTCTTTGCAATTTTGGAAACACGATAAGATAACAGAGAATCGCACAAGTCTTCGAATATAATGGTGTCAAATTGTTTTAAAATTAACAGAATAGTTAAAATTTGTGCTCAGTTTGTATCAAAATAAAATGGAAGTTCTTCTTTGCAATTTTGGAAACACGATAAGATAACAGAGAATCGCACAAGTCTTTGAATGTAATAATATCAAATTGTTTTAAAATTAACAAAATAGTTAAAATTTGTGCTCAGTTTGTATCAAACTAAAATGGAAGTCAGTTCTTCTTTGCAACTTTGGAAACACACAGTGAGATAACAGAAAATCGCACAACACAATGGCACCAAATTGTTTTAAATTTAAGAAAATAGTCAAAAGTTGTTCGTCCGCCTATCGAGCCTGATCGCGACTGCATTTAGAACGCATTTTTTTCAAGGCGTCTGATCTCAGTGAAAAGGGTGGGGGAGAAGAGAAAATGGCACGAAACCAATGTACATATATTGTAAATAAGCCTGTATCGAATCGCGTGAGTGTACGTATGTATATATAAATATTAATATATCGACGCGTGTACAGGACGTTCGAGTTCCGATTAATCGCGATGCGAATGAAGGAGAAAACGCGAAAAACGAGAACCGGGGCCGACCGACGAGAAAGAGTAGAAATCGAGGGACAAGCGACGTTGCTGACACCGTTCGTTTCAATTAGCCCTGAGCTCCTTCGGTTCGTTTATCCCCCGGAGGGAAATTTACGGGTGACGATATTATATGACCGACTATAGGTCGGAGAAGAGGAAAGGAAAAGAAGCTACGTAGCCGATGACTCCACGCTAGAACAGCTCGAGTAGAATCCCAGCTCCTTCAACCCTCCCAGAATCCTCCTTTAACGATCGCATCGAACCGCGTCGAGAAGTTCGACGGCTCGAACGCGCAGAGACTCGAAATTGGCAACTTGACACGCCGACACCGAGCAACGATGAACGCGAACAAATTATCTAAAAGAAAGAGTGAAAAAAAAAAAAAAATAAAAATTCGCGCGTTTCACGATGGAAATTCTTCGACTAGATTCGAGCGTCAAATGAGTTTTCTTTTCTTTTT